AAGTTTTGTTCTTTTTGGAAAGAATTTCTAGAATGATGATGAGGAGGAAAAGAGGTCTTTTGCTTGGATAGGTAGAGAGAGAAATTTCTGTTTAACAGGCATACTGGTACAAATTTCAAAGGAGAGTTAGCAAAGAATGGCGTTAAATTAAATTAAGGACATTTTAATAGTTGTTCTGAGGGGAATGGTCTCTTGATAGCTGAGATGATACTTAGAGAGCTTTGCTTCTACTGCTTGAATATGAATCTGGTTAGTAATGGATTAGAACCCACGGAATAAAATAAATATCAGTAGTCTATAATGACCTAAACAAAAAAGTAAGTAAATGGGGGAGAAAGGACAGCTCTTCCTTATAGTTGAATTCTAATCAATAAGTATAGAATGATGGAAACAGAAAATCATCATTAAGCAAATACCACAGTAATAATTATTTTTGTCAAGAATTGTCAATGGGTACAAAAATTAGTGGGCAAATGTATGATGAGAAATAGAATTTTGCATAGTTTCAAAGTATTTCCCTGCAAGATACTTGTTTACAAAACCTGGCAGACACCGCCTTTACCGAGTTAAAAAGTTCACATTACCGGTAATGAAACATGTTTTCCTTATGTACCTCCTGATGGCCTCAAGGTTACAACTGTGTTAGATAAAGAAAATTTGGTACATGTAGATGATGGAATACTACTCAGCCATGAAAAAGAATGAAATTCTGCCATTTGCAGCAACACAGATGAGTTTGGAGAAAACTGTGGTAGAGAAATACCACGTGTTCTCAGTCATATGCAGAAGATAAAAAAATTGATCTTATAGAAGTAGAGAATAGAATAGAAGTTACTAGAGGCAGGGAAAGAGAGAGGGTGAGAGGGGGCCAAGGAAATGCTGGTAGATCAGTATGAAGTTACAGAGGTACAGTTAGATAGGAAGAGTAAGTTGTTACTCTAGGGTGACAATAGCTAATAACATTGTATTGTATATTTCAAGATAGCCAGAAAAGAGGATCTTGAATTTTATAACCACAAAGAAATGATAAATGTTTAGGTGATAGATATGCTAACTATCCTGATTAGATCATTTTACAATATATGCATGGATTGAAACAAGCTGTACCCCTTAAACTCGTACAATGAAAAAAAAATTTTTTAAGTGAAAAAGCTATAAACTCAAATGGTGAATAGTTAAAACCATTTAATAATTTTACAATGATTATGTTGTGGTAATATAAAATAATTTTTAAAGAAAAAATAAAATTGAGTTTATTCACATATCTTATTATTTACATATATCTGTCTATTTGCATATTTAACTTTATGGGTGCTGACTGTATTTTCACTTCCCAAATTTTTCTTAATGGAGCTAGGCATCAACCAGAATTTCTATATATGCTTAATGTGTCTTGGGTTCTATTTGTATGTATGAAACATAAATCGATTTATTAGACAGTGATGACATCAGGGTAGATTGTGCCAGTCAAATGGTATATGACACACACACACACACACACACACACACACATACACAAATTCCATTAATAAAGTTTTTTTCATACTTAGAAAAAAAAGATTACATCTGTGATATTATGGCCAAAAATGTACAGCCTTGTTGTACATTTAGATAAATCCAAATTGGGAAACATCGTACCAAATAACTGGCCTGGACTCTTCAAACATGTTAAAGTCATGAAAGTCAAAGATAAACTGAGGAACCATCACGGATTGGAAGGCCAAAGAGACCTTGCAACTGGATGCAAGGTGGTAGCCTGGATTGGATCTTGGACTGAAAAAAAAAAAAGAAAAGAAAAGAAAAGAAAAGACATTAGTGAGACAATTTGTGAAATTTGAGTAAGCCCTATAGATTATTTCATTGTATTGGTGTAAACTTTATTATTTCAATAATTGACTGTGGTTATATAAAGTGTTATAAGGGGAAGTTGGGGGAATGATATTTAGGAATCCTACACAAATTTTGCAACCTTTTGTAAATCTAAAATTATTTCAAAATAAAAAGTTAAAGAATGTTCTGGTGTGATTTTGAATGACTTGGAATATCTTTGTTGGCAGAAAGAGGATAAAGGTATACCACAAGACACTTCTTCATAATTTCTTTTATTTTATTCTCTAGGATTGTCAGTCTAGCAGTCAGTTTTAGAGTATTTGTGAATATTCTCAAAAAAATTGGTTGTAGCCCTTTTACCTGTGGCCTGATTGAGTTTTCCAATAATCACCCTAACCCGATTATTTCAATTTTGTAATTGTAGACATGGAAGCCTTGAGCAACAGTGATTTGTTTCAAATGGCAATGGAATCAGGAATTTAATACTTTGGATCGTTTGTTGTTAGTATTTTTCAGCCAGGTCCTGCTTTCTCCCATCTAACGCCAAAAGTGTGATAGAAACATTTCAGAAAATTAGTTCTAACCTGCAAAATCTCACAGACATGATCCAGGAGTAGATCTTTTTTGAATCTTATGTGTATTTATTGCCTTCCAAGTAATGTAAATTCCTTGAGTGCACCTTCTGCATCTCCTTCATTGTTTGCCCGGACTTGCAGCCCAGAGCCTTAGGCTGTCAACGGGTCTATGGAGAAGATGCGAATCTAAATGGTGGAGACTGGAGAAGAGAATGTGTATGTTCTGGCGGTGACCTTTATTCCAAAAGGATAAGATAGAGTGAGAAGTGAGTGATGGAATTCCCTTTTTGTGCTCACAAATCTCAATAGAAAAATTGATTTACTTTATTAAGGCTTAATTCCGAACAAACCTTTGACATAAAGTAATAAATAGATTCGAAATAGAGTAAAAGACAGAAAAATTAGAGACCTGTGACTTCTCTTTTGGCGGTAATGTGTACTCTGATGAAATTTATCTTTCTAATTTAAAACGAAACATTCATCACTACTGTTGTTAACTTTTTACTGCATTAATTTTTGTCATTTTTCACATTAGCATTTCATCTGTGTCTGACAATTTATCTTGTGTTTGCTTTGTCTTCCATAAACTGTTTGAATGGCTGTTACATAAACTGCTTGTCATTAAAACATCAGAATTTTTAGGGGTTGATTTTGAAGGATCTGAAGATCTTCATCAGTTCACAAACTATTTTAGATGGAGGTGAGTGGGGTATAGGACAGTCTCACAGAATCACAGACCTCAAATAGCTCTTGGGGTGAATGGTTAAAAATAGATTCATAGACTATCACCTAGGTCTCTTGGGCCTTGATGATATCATCCCCAAATCACATTGGCCCAAATGTTGCAGTAGCATTAGGTTATCTGTCCTCTACCCACAATGAATCAGTGACAAAGTCAGGAACTGAACTCTGATTCCTTAATGCCACCCATCACTTCATTTGCTTGCACCTTCTGTCTTCAGCTCTGAATTTTATTTCAGACACCTTTGTCTTTCAGGAAAGATGTCCAGGTCGTAGTATAATAGATGAACAGAGCTGACTTTCAATAATAAGTCTTACCATACTTTTATTTTGTTTTATTTATTATTATGATCTTTTTATTGTTGGGTATATTCTTTTATCTGGGTGGAAGTCACAGAGGGGTTTAAATGTGAACAAATTCATTAAGCTGTTGAGTCAGTATTAGAGCTCCTGGTTGTACATGGGTTATACATTAATAAAGGGCACACAGTCACTCACACAGGAAAAGTATAAGAGCTGTGGTAAGATACACATAATATGAAATTGACCATCATTTTTTACATGGATTGCTAAGGAGCTTTTATTTAAGGTACCAGATGAACATGCAACATTTTCTCCCCACCTGGAGAAAGAAAATTTGGAGAAAAACATTTTTATAATTAAGCTTATGTTTTACCATACCTTACTTTGAATGGGGGAGACTGAACGTTTTTTGTGGTCCTTCACACATTTTAGCTAACTTAAGTTTGATTTGTTTGCAAAAGAAAAAAAATTGAGAGTATTTTTGTGAGGGGAAAGGATTAGGTTTTAAATGCATTTTCAAATGTATTATATTTGTTAAACACAATTTTAGCTGCATCATTTTCTTACTCCAGTTTTCTCTAACAGACTGTCTTTTGTAGTTGCAAGAAGTTTCATCTAGATATATTTTACACCAAATAAATAAATAAATGATAGTTTAGAGTTGGAATTGTCAAGGCTAAGGTGGTTTCCTTTTATCAACTTGTTGAATGTCTGGAAGGCTAATATAAAAGTCTTGATTTTCTCAGTTATAAATCTTTTAAACAACGTCAGCATACTTACATCTTGACATCAGTGGAATTAATATTTTTAGAATGCCAGTTTAGCATTAGCTTTTTCTACGTCTGCCTTTGTGGTGCAATTTAAAACTGATTAATCTGAAATGTCACTTGGTTAGGTATGAATCATTGTTGCTTACTAGTAAACTGTTGGTTCATGTCACCATCTGAAACAGAAATGGGAGTCTAGCCACAAGAAATGTCTTAGGCATTTCTTTTCTACCAGGGCCTGGGATGTCAATGAGTGATAAATGAGGGCTCTATGAAGTGATTTTTGTCAGAGGAAATGATTTTCATATTGTTTAGGAGGTACTATTTCCTAGGTGACAAATGAAGTTTTCATCATTCCTGAGGCACTATCTATGTAACCTCAGTTTTTAAGGGTTCTGGATCTAAAACTATAATCGTTTGAGAATTTAAGGGAATGTAGAGAGAAAAGGAGCATCATTCATATATATGTGAATAATTCGGGAAGTCCAAATAATAAAATTTGTTTGTCTGGTTTTAGTAGCTGCTGATCAAAGAATGGACGGCTGTCAGTGAGTTTTGTAACTCGTTCCTTGAATGGTGATTCCTAGCCATGGTAGAGAGATGGGGACGATTTGAAAATTGCTGTATGTGTTACTGCATCAATAGTGTAGAAAAAAAGAAGTTTGTAAACAACTGATACAGAGAGTATGTAATAAGCAAGCTAAGAAAGAGAAATCGTAAAAGGATGGTAACTCAGGGCCCTGTGATGACTGAAATCTCATCTTTCTACTGTCTCTGGTTTCAGATTGCCTGTTTGGTACCCGTGGATCAGTTTCAGCTGTATCAGCGCTTAAAATTTGAACGTGGTATGTGCTCTTCTTTTTATCCTGATAGTGAAAGTGGTTTTACATGTGTCATTTTTACACTAACCCACATGGTTAAAAATGTATAACGTGAAGGTGCACTTAAGGCAGCTGTAGGCTGTCAACAAAGTCACAAGAGGACTGCGAAAGGGGAAAACTGGAGCAACATAAAATTTCAACTCTCTCAGCCACAGCTAGAAAAATGCAGACTAGCAAGAAATAGAACTTTCCTTATCTTGGTTGTCTGTATTTTTAATATGGCTCATGTGAAAAAGGTTTTGCAAAAGTTAGATGGTTTCATGATAAAAGTAATACAAAAGAACATGACTCTCAGAATGGGTTTTACCACCAATTTTCTCAGGCTTGAAGATCACTTGAAAGCATTAACCAGGCCAAACAGTTTTACTGCTCCTTATAATATTCACCATTCGTCCTTTTGATTCTACTTTTGTAATCATGGTGAGGTTGAGATAGTTTGGGTATATATCATTCTAATGAGAGTTAGAATATATTGGGCTGATTTTCTTTCTGACTTCAGACTTGGGGTAATTTACATAGCTTTTCTATTTATACTGCCCATTCATCTGTAGGAGTTATATTTTTGTTCCTTTTGGCTTCTGACAGGTCTTTTTAAGAAACACTTTCTTCCTTGACACAAACTAATATATTCTTGAACTAAATGGTCTATTTTTTAGTATCTGAGTAGGAGAAAAATTGTTTTCCCCAGAACTTGTAAGACTGGAATAGTCTCATTGAGTGTATTAAAAAACCTCTAACCTAGAACGAGCATAAAGTTTTCTGATTGCTAAACTTTAAAATCTGGATTGATAAAGTCTAGAGGTGAGGGTAGGGAGAAAATTAATGTTTTTGTGCCAGTGAATTTGGTAAGCACAATTACCTTTAATTCATTTATGTTTTGCAACCACCCTGGCAGATAATTCTTACAGGAAAAGAGAGAAAAAAAAAACCCCAAAAAACAAACAAAGAAAAAAACCCCATGCAGAGCATGAAGAAAGGTCAGGGGATTCATAGGATGCCATTTGCTACCTTAGACCAAGATCTGGCTTGTGACTTACTTTTTTCAGTAAGCCAAGAGCTGATTCATCTCTCATGGGTGGGCCACTTAACTCATAAGGCTGATACATTAAGCTGATTTTATATATATACAGAAAAATTGGACCAAGTTGTTTGAATTTCAAATGGCTATATTTCTATAGGGCAAAAATACATTTTGCCCTATAGAAAGATCCAGATGTAAAGTCACGAAATAGAATGTTGTTGAACATAAAATCAGAACCAGAGGGGTTGGATGAGTTACAGGTTTGAGGATGAAGACACAGTCTGATGCATCTGTCCTGTGTGGATTCTGAGCTAACTTGAGAAATTAACGATGGGAGTAGTTTGTATTGGCCTCCCTGATCCACTGGCATGGGCAGATTAGATTGAGAATTAAAACACTAGATGCTTATTTATGTGATAGCTAAAGATGAGAAGGGCATCAAACATCTGCCTTGCTGTTCTCCCACTTTATCCCAATATCCTCCATTATAAAAATAAATTATAATTGGAACATGAGCATTCCAAGTATTTGTCCTGTGGGTGACTACAGCTGGTAGCAAGTGCCATGAGTTGAGGGCTCTTACCTGGAGAAAGTCTAAAGAGTTAGGTTTGATTTTCAGATTCTTCTTAAATGGTGAGATGTGACCTATCAACCTCATCAGTCCTACTTAGTAACTGGGGCTTGGTCTGTTTATAGTATTTCCTTGCCTATATGCATCTCTCCTCTCCCATGGCCACCGATCACCTCCCAACTACGTCCTTGGCCCCATCTGTCATTAGCAGCCTTTATTCCTAATTGTTTACACTTTAGAGGGCATAGTTATTAACTCAAATGCCGTTTGTAGTTAGACAAATTCTAATAGTACCAGGAATTAAAACTTTCTGTGGGTTGGTTCTCACTGATGAATATAAAGTTTTGGTTGATTTTAAAAATAGTGCGTAAGAGCCTGAATGCAATCGCCGGCTCCACCACTTAGCAGCTGTGTGTCCATAGGCAAAGTACTTAGAATTTCTGCACCTCAATTTCCTCATCTATAAAATGAGGATATCTGTCCATCTACCATAGGGTTGGGATGAGGACTGCATGAATTAATACTTTTAAAGTACTTCCTATGAGTGCTTCAAAATATTCATATTAACAATTGTTGGTAATAAAATGCTAATAAAAGTAGCACCTTTACATTAAAGTATGCACAATGTTCTTCTACTTCCTTTTTTTACAGATGAGATAATCATACCATTCTTTAGTAGATATCCTCATGTGAAATAGATGTTATGCTTATCCGGTCAATGGGATCAGAACTCTTGAAGTTAGTTGGCCACATCTGTCTTTACAGTAGGAGTAGCTTTGTCATGGGCGAGGTACACATAGAAAATCATTGGCCATGATTCACATTTTTCCCTGAGATAGTGCTTTGCTGTGAGATTGGGTCTTTCTGAGTTTTCTGGAGTGTTCAGCCTTACTCGTGATTGACTTACTTACATATTCAGCCTGTGATAATATATTACAATCAAACTGGGCGGGCTTTGGAACCAGTCTGTGTTTTTTAGCTGATGTTGCATATCTCTACTTTCATTCATTAAAAGTTGATCAAATAGTTTTCTTCATACATGTAATTTATTTTTTCTCACAAGTTCTAGGCAGATGCCCCACTATAGATCCTATGCATTGACAATTGATCTTACTGTTCTTATTTTATAGATGAAGAAACTGAAAATTGGATAGGTTGAGCCTTGCCTAGTATCACTTAGCTTCCTCATCTATAAAAATTTTACAGTTCTATAATTTCCCCCCCCCCTTTTTTTTGTCTTTTTTTTTGTGTCCGGCAACGGATTGCAACCCTCAGTGTCGCTCCTGCACCGGACCGGGACCGGCAACGGGATCGCAACCCTCGGTGTTGCTCCCGCACCTCGCTCAGCCAGTGAGCGGGAACCGGTCTGTATGTGGGATCCGAACCCTCGGCGGGAGCGCCACCGCGCTCTCAAGCAGCGCACTGTAGCAGTGCGCCACCGGGCTGGCCCATATAATTTTTTTATTGTGGTTAAAAATGTATAACATGAAAGTTGCCATATTAACTATTTTTAAGCGTACAATTCAGTGGCATTAATTACATTCATACCTTTGTGCAATCATCACCACTGTCTGTTTCTAAAACTCTTTCATCACCCCAAACAGAAACTTTAGCCATCAAGTGATAACTCCCTATTCTTCCTCCCCCAGCCCCTGGTAACCTCTAATCTACTTTCTGTCTCTGTGAATTTGCCTATTCTAGATATTTCATGTAGCTAGAATTATACAATATTTGTCCTATTGTCTGTCCTTATTTCACTTGGTATAATGTTTTCAAGATTCATTCATGTTGTAGCATGTATCAGAACTTCATTTCTATTTATGGCTGAATAATATTTCATTGTATGTTTATACTGCATTTTGTTTATCCATTCACCCATTGATAGACAGTTGGGTTGCTTAACCTTTTGGCTATTGTGAATAATGATGCTACGAACATTGGAGTACAAGTATCTGTTTGAATTACTGCTTTCAATTTTTTTGGTATATACCTAGGAGTGAAATTGCTAGTTATATAGTCATTCTAGTTATATAGTTTAGTTTTTGAGGAACTGCCAAACTGTAAAACCCTACAATTGAAATATAAGTTTAATTAGACATTTTACTGTTGTAAAGTATTGAAGTATGTTAAATTAGGTGACTGTTTGGTTCAATCCCTCATTTTATAAAAAAGGAAATTGAAGCCTAGAGACCTTTTGATCTTAGGTGATTTTGGAAGCCCATTTGTAATCATGTAATTCTTTATTATCATCTATTATAAATAATTATTATTGAAAAACAGAAATTCCAACTAAAAATAAGTTAATAAAGTGCTACATAATGGAATTTACTTGATCGAGATAATTTTTATCCAAATCATTACACCTCATTTTTACATAATAGACTTCCCATCTCCCTCAAACTCAAGACCTTTTCCAGGTCTATGGGTAATTTTGAGCTCTATGTCATGAAAATATTTTATGTGGAACTGTTTATAAAAGGATCTTGGGATGCATTAAATACTCACTAATACTGTTAATGGGTTAAATGACCACCTGGCTGGAAGTACATCTCATTGGTTGGGCTGAGAGACAGAATGCAGAGATTGTTCTGAAAAAACGTAGAATCAGATTAGATGAAGCCCTATTTTTTGTTATAAAAATTATTCTTAGATTTGTTCAATTCTTATGGCCCACCAAGTTCTTTTCTTGTTCTTTAATTTGTTGTCCAGTGTATGAATTGTCCTCTGCTTTATGTTACATATTTGATTCGTTTGTCTTTTGTGTCTTTGATTTTATCCAAGTCTTTGTGGGGAAAAATATTTTGAACAGGCTCAGGCAAAAACCATTACTCTGCTTACACAAGGCAGGGAAACACTATTTAGCATTCATTGGTTATTCCTATCAATTTTCCATTCATCAGTGACTTTCCCATAGTATGTTTGTGGCTTTCCCTTTCTGTGTCAGTCTTCCAATATTGACAAAGAAAAAGGAATGCTTAAAAAAAAAAAAAGAAAGAAAGAAAAAGGAATGCTAAGTTTGGCATGTGTTAGTGACCATTGTTTGACTTACCACTGGGTCTCAAAGCACATGCCTGACAATTAACGCTAGAATTTTGCTTATCTCTTATTTCCAGAGACTACTTTTTCAAAATAGCTATTTTTTTAGAAAATTGGGTTCAGATTATCTTTCTCTAATTTTTAAGCCCATTTCCTTTTTTTTGGGCCCTTTTTTTTTATTTTTTTTTTTTTATTTTTGTCTTTTTGTCTTTTTCCGTGTCCGGCAACGGATCGCAACCCTCAGTGTTGCCCCCGTACCGGACCGGGGACCGGCAACAGGATCGCAACCCTCGGTGTCGCTCCCGTGCCTCGCTCAGCCAGTGAGCGGGAACCGGT